GCTCTGTCTCTTGCTTGCTGTGCGACCCTGGCTGGTATCTTCACCTCCCTGGATCTCAGGGTTCTCAGCTGTGAAGTGGGAGAGTTGGGTGTGGATACTTCTCAAACCCCTCCCCCGCCTCATGTGCTGATTCTATGCTGCAACACTCTTTCGGCCCAGGGCTTCCCAGCCTTGGCACTATTGGCATTTTAGGCCAGACAATTCTTTGTCGGGGGCTGTCTGTGCACCGGAGGATGTTTAGCTTTGTCCCCGGCCTCTATCCACTCCGTGCCCATAGCACTCCTTACCCCAGTTGTGACAACCAAAAATGTCTTCAGAAATAGCCAAATATCTAGGATGCAAAGTAACCCCTCTAGTCATTGCCCAAGCACTTCAGTAAGGCCGAGATCATGAGTGATTCAGTGGGAAAAGATCTTTCCGTCCCTTTCTCTTCCATGACTCCTTCATACCTTTGTGCACACTTTTTAAACACAACCTCCCAGCCCTTTCCTGCTTCTCATTTCTTAAATGCCCTAAGTGGTCCAGGGTGTGCTTGGTGTGATAATGAACCAATTGATTTCATACTTTTTTCTAAGGAGAGTTCATGGGTTTATGTCCCCTAAGCAACCAGCCAGGCTCCCCAGAAATCCCTCGCACAGCCCCAGCTGGCCTGGAAGCCTGTATCTGCAGCCTGCAGGAGGCTCGGTGAGCACGGATTTGTCAGTACTCTTAAATCACTGGGCTCCGAGGAAGGCTTCTCCCAGCACAAAGATCCTTCCTTAGGAATCAATAGCTCAGGGCCTTCCATCACATTCAGAATTATCCTGCGACTTGTAAAATTTATTTTCCCCAAGCATGGCAAAACCTCAAAATGAAAGCCCCAAGGTGGGGGAAGGGAAGAAGACAAGGAAGGAGCCCTGCCAAGGAGGCCTTGTCCGTCAGCCCAGATGTTGCTCTGAGCAGAGGCTGATGTGCGAACCTGGACACTCGGTCTCATTTGCTGGGAAAAGAAAGACCCAATGTGATCCTGCAATAATATCTTCTCCCAACCAAATACCTCTGTATAGTTAACCAAGGGCAGAGGCATATTAGACTGTCTTCCTTCATCTTCACTATCCTACCCTCATCACAGTGTTGCCAGCTTCACCATTTTACACAGGAGGAAACTGAGACATACAGAGGTTAAGCAGTTTGTCTAAGGTCTTTAAGCCAGTAAGCAGGGGATCCAGGTTCTAAGCCTGTGTTCTTTACACTGCACTGGGCTGTCATCCCAGTGGGAGTGGAGTAAGGTCAGTTATCTAGTGGGGCTCATGAAAGAGGCGACTTATTGTTTTCTCAGTGTCTAATGCCACTTCTCAAACTCTATATCCTCTCTCCCATTCAAACAAAAATCCAGAGATCCTGTGCTACAGCTATATTTTATGTAACTATATTCCCCTGGCCTTGCCCAGAACCAGACCAAGCTTTGGGAGTGCTGGCACAATTTTTTAGCTAGAGCCGTGCGCTGGCGTGGATCTCAAGCACAGCCTCTCATAACCCGACTTTTAAAGGAGGAACTGTTGCTCTCTGGTGGTCCACCTTATCCTACTGCCTCTCTCCTCTGCCTGAAGATAAAGATTCAGCTTATCTGTGGGCCTGAAGGAGATGAGAAAACTCAAACGTCTTCCCTGGCAACAAGCACCCCCTGGGTGAGCCTTAGGGACAGAAGAGGATCCACCTCTTGGAATTCTCGTGTGGCAGCACTGGTTCCTCCTGAGGGTCACTGCCAAGTCAGCTGAGGCTCTGAGGGGAGCTTCATGTTTTGTGCAAAAGAGCAGGGTGGGAGAGGAAACAGAGGGGGCAGCCCACGTGCCACTCAGCAAACCTCCTTCCCAGGCCCAGCTCAGATGTCGCCAGCCAGATTCATAGAACAAAAAAAAGGCAGTGGAAATGGTAGTATCTTCCACGTCACCCAAGAAGCTCTAACACAAGGATTTTGCAAAAATAGAACATTCTAGCACTCTGACCTTGAGCTGGGAGCAGCAAGAAGGGGAAATGGGCAAATACCGGTGGGAAGCTGTCCTCTACCCCCAGAAGCTGAGTACTGGAGGCCCTGCAGGCAGCAGTGTGACTGCAGGACAGAGAGGCCCCACGCCGGCTCGCCGGAGCGGAGAGAGGGAAGAGCTCCAGGCCCGGGTTTCAAGACCGCTGCAAGCAACTGGGCACTCCATCCCTGACCGCGTCCGCGGAACCCTGGAGTCACACTGCCTCTGCCCAAAAAAACCACTTGGAACAATGAGATAAGATAATGGAGAAAGGGGAAAGAATAATTAGGAATTTCTATTACTCGTATATGTACATTACAAGAACTCTATCTATTCTTCACCGCCTCACTCTAAATGACAGATTCGAAGGAAATCTCTGCAAATGACTACATTCATTAATTTACTTATTTCTGATCAGTCTGCAATTATGAGTACCTACCATGCAGGAAACACATGTCCATCTCCATAGCAAAGAGGAAGCAGGTCATGGAGTGGAAAGAGCTCTGAGTAGAGGACTAGGAATCCCTAGGATCCAGTCCTATCTCTATCACCAAATAGCTATGTGACCTTGGGCAAGATACTTGCCTTTATTGGGTTTCAGTTTTGTCATCTGTAAATTAAGTGTGCATGTGGGTGTTGGAGGTGAGATAAGGTTGGACTAGTAGATGCTCTTCCAGATTTCTCTCTCCCAGCTCTAATGGTCTTTGGCTCTATGAGCTCTTAATGAGTTCAAAGAGCACACCAACACCAAACACAAAGGAATGATCTTAGAAGGCCAGTGGGGCTGAGGACCAGCTGTTTCCTTGGAATGTTGTATTTGCATATGCCCCATTGCACCTGAGATCACAGGACTACCTGAAGTCCAGCAAGCATGTGGTAGAAGAGGTTCGATCATGAAGGTGACCGTTGTGGGCTGTGGCCTTTGCTTGATTAAAGCATTAAGTTACTATGGCCAATGAAGGGCAAGAAGTGAGAAAGTCAGTGGTCCTGAGCTGGGTGCCTTTGTCGCCCCCTACCGGTCACCAAGGAGCCTGCAGGACAGTTTCATTCACATCAGCAAACAAGGAAGACAGAAGACTGTCACAGCTCTTTAAAAGGACAAATTTCTTGGCCCATGGTCCTCTCTCTATAAAAGTCTATATCTCACTACTGAGGATTACATAGGCCATTGGTCCACGCATTCACAGGGGCACTCTGGTACAGCGATAGGAACTCTTAAGCAGACTTCAAGGTGCCAAGTAACAAACATCAGGGTTCAGAACCCCAGGCGCAGCCCATATGGAGAGGAGGGTAGAAAGAGTAACCAGCAGGTATTTTGCTGTACAAATCGCCAGTGGAAAGAAAGTCTTGGGAAATGTCGCAGAAAAATGTTGACTACAAGCAAACGATGGACCTGAGTTTGGGGGTATGGATTGATAGCTCCCATAAAAGATCTCCAGGCTGAAGCGGCTACCCTAGGAGTTCAACACACATACACACCTATGTTCAGGGATGGGTACAGATGAAGGATGCAGCCCCAACCGAGAAGCCCGCCCTTGACCTTCTCCAGAGACCTTTAGTACCAACTGGAAACCGGCATAGTCTAATCATGGTCCACTGTGCCAGCATCAAGACCTGAAACTCTCTTCAATGCCTCTTAAATTAACTTTAGGACCTGCTGCCAGAAAGATGTTTTTAATCAAGTCAGAGGGGGAGAAAACGCTTCCTCAATGGCCATATTGGAACAACCGCCATGTTCCCACTTTCCCATCCTCCATCTCCCCATCCTCATGGCTGAGAATGAGGTACAGTGTTACTCTGAATTCTCTCTAACTCAGTCTTGGGTATCCCCAGCCCCAGGTCATCAGGGTCAAAAAGTCTCCTATCAATAGCGCCTCTCTTCCTACACTAGTTCTCCCCAAGACAGCACTACAGAGTTGTCCCCTTTTCTTGAAACCCTCTTCCTGTCTTTTCCACATGGCTTCGCTTGGGAAGTCCTGCACCCATCCCAGAAGACATTTCAAGCGTGTCTCAGCGTGTCTTAAGAATGTGTCCTGTCTGGAGAGCTGAAGCACCTCCTGGGACGCACAGAAGCCACTCTAGGTTCATACTCTACCACCAGCAGCAGTAATATTTATTAATCATCCCCAGAGGAAGGGGCCCGCGCTCCCCCCAACCCCAGAAGCATTTCCCCACCACTCTGAGATGGCTGGGATGACTTTGGGTTCTTGAGTTGGTTTCTGCAGAACTGGGACTAACCAGGGCTCCCAACTACTGTACTGTGAAGAAGCGCGCTGCATTGCTGGGCAAGCCCCCAAGCCTGGCCTGCTGCCCCACCAAAGCCTCTCTGTGTCCCCGCGGGGTTAGAGGAGGACCTCCGGTTCCCCTGGAATGCCTGAAGCTGGCTTGCCTGAGACAGGCTGACGCGAGGAAACCACACCTCGGTCCAGCAAAGGCAGCTGTCAGCTACGCCGTGTGGGGCTGGCTACCGGAGCTCTCCGCCACCCGCGCTGTGCGGGAGAGATCGGCTTCCCAGGGGAAGGAGCGCCAGCCCCCCAGGGCTCTTTCCCATTCTGGAAGCTTAGGCACCTGGCCGAGGCCAGTAGCTTCCCCGGCCCGGAGCTGAGCCTGCCTGGCTGAGCGACTCCCCAATACCCCCAGCACATTCCTCCTCACCTGCTCCGCCCCCTTTCAGCCCCGGTGCCCCCTTCCCAAGGAGCTGACCTCCAGCGTGCCCCCAGCTGTGAGGGTTGTCGCCCCCACACCTCCGCTCCCACCTCTCTGCCGCCTCCAACCCCACTCTCGCCTCGCCCCCAGCCCGCAGGGGAGGCTCTGCGCGCCAGTCGAGTCCTGAGCCCCTTGGCAAGTTGGAAGCAGACCGCTGCCACCTTGGCGGTTTCTGTCTTCCCTGGTTCTGGGTGGCATCCCCGCCACCCCTGAGGGCGGATCGGAAGGGGAGCCTAGGGCGGGAGAAACTTTCTCCGTCTGAGGGGTTGGGGAAACGGAGCGGGTACTCACGCCGAGGTCAGCACTGGGAGCCCTCCTCCGGCTCTCTCAGCCCCACCTCCCCGGGGCGTCGGAGTGCGGGCGTTCGCGGATGCCTCTGCTGCCGCCGCCTTCCAGCGCCCAGCCCCGGTCCCGGGCTGGCCTCGAGCCTCCCGCCCCGACGCCGCTCGCCCGCTTTATACAACTACACTCGAGCGCGCCCGGGCTTATGTAAAGGCTGGCGGAGCCCCGCAGCCAATGGCACGGCGGCTGGAGCTCGGGGCCCGGGGGTGGGGGGCGCCCGCGCGGCCAATCGCGGCCCGGGGAGCCTGGGGAGCCGGGTGGGGGAGGGCGCGCCTCCTCGGGCTGATTTAGGAGTCGGGATTGCGGTGGCAGCAGCCGGCAGCACGGCCGGCCCGGCTGGGCCAGGCGCGGCAGGCGCTGGGGTGGGCGGCGGCGCAGGCGGAGGCGAGGGCGGGCATCCCCTGCGCCTTGCCGCTGCGGCGCGTAACCTTCAGGAGGCAGCGGGGCCTGGCAAGGGGGGCGAGGGCTCCTGGCGGGACGCAGGGGGCCCCGGGCCGGCGGGAAGCATGGGTCCCTCGGGACGAAGCGCGGGGAAGGAAGGGGAGGGGGAGGGAAGGAAGGGCGGCGAGCCCCTGGACCCCGCGGCCACCCCTGTGCGCAGGACCGGGGGTGGTGGAGGGAGTAGCGGCTCTGCCTTCGCGTTTTCCCTCAGGAAGCGACCTGGCGTCGCCGGGCCAGGCCGGAGCAGCCGCGAGGGCCGCGCAGATAGCGAGATTTCGCGCTGCGGAGCGAGCGCCGAGCCGATCTTTATCTGGCCTGGGAACGTGTCCGAGCGCCTCCGGGGGACTGCTCTGTATGGAGAGCGGAGCTTCGCGACGGCCGCAGAGGGAGGGGAGCGGGCGGGCACAGCTCCGAGATTAGGCGCGGCAGCGGCGTACGCGGCCGCGTCCCCTCCCCCAGTCCCAGTCCCCCGCCCGCCTGTCGGCTGTGCCCCCGCCAGCCCCTGCCCGGGCCGCGCCGGGGCTAAGCCCGGCCCACCCACTCTAGTCCGGTGCGTCCTTTCAGGCTCCTCACCGCTTTGCTCACAGGTACTGCTGTCCCCCTCCTCCACCCCAAGCCCGCAGCGGTGGGCGGCGAGGCCTCAGCCTCCCAGGACGTGGAGTCTTGGGGGCTAAGCTTGGGAAGAGCGCTGTTGGACAGCAGTGCCGCAAATACCCGAATACCGGGCAGGAAATGAGCCTAGGTCGGTAACACTCTCAATTCCCTTATTTTGCACCTAGAATAGAGCCTGGCACATAGTAGGCGGTCGGTAAGGGTTTACTGAAGGAATTTTGGTGTTTTCTAAGGAAGGGTCTTTGGGCTCCTGAAAGTTGGGGCACAGATAAGGCTTCGGAAGGGAAACATCTGGTAACCAGCCATCAGCTAGGACTGTTTTCTCATTTATTGATGCCTTTGTCACCATCACCCTGGCATCAGGGCACTTCACTCTTAAAATGACTCCAATGTGTTCTTTTATGAAGGGCCCCTGCGAGCCAGGCCCCGGCCGCACACCCCGTTACCCGAGGTTGTGAGCGGAGCCTCCAGGGCCTACCTTGGGCCCTGTTTTCAGGTCTCTGCGATCGTCCTTTGGAAAGAAGTAGCCAAGCATAAGCCATCCTTATAGTTTTTTAGGCCCCTTGGCCTTGCTGTATTTCTTAACCCTTTGAAGTTATGGACCCTTTTGAGAATCTGGCAAAAATTATCGAGTTCTTCCTTAAGAAAAGTACACATGCACGCATACCTCAAGTGAGGTTCTCTCTGCCTGATGTAAACCTGCTTCTCGGTGGGTCTGAGGCAGTAGTTTATAATCGCCTTCCTTTTGGTGATCACAGGACCCTTGTGAGCCTTTCAAGAATCTGATTATTGTTATGTCTGCTTCTCAGAAAAAAATGCTCAACCATATACTCACACACATACTGACATACAATTTTGGGGGGCTTATGGATCCTTTAAAACTTAATCAGGATCCCAGATTAAGACTTCACCGAACAGGAGCTGGAGATGGCACCAAGGGCACACCTGACCCGCAGCTCTGTCCAGAAGGAGTTCCAGGAGTTCTGCACCCTGCTGCATCAGGCCACTGCCTTGTCTGAGGGCATCTGAGTCCTGTGATGATGGCCTTGGCATCTGAGAAACCATTTCCACACTTGCCTCTGCATCTTGGTTCCCACCACCCTCTTAGTGTGGAAATAAGTTGCAGGTTGTCATGTTCTGTCTGATCTATGAGCGTTCCTTACCCAGAAACTCTAACTCAGGAAGACAGCAAGTGACTTGTAATTAACCAGTTTCACTCAATCCCAGGCATCTGAGCACACCTTTCTTGGTTTTCGTTCTCACCTCTCTTTCTGCGGGTGAAGCTGTGAGCAGCAGCCCCAGCTGTGGAGCCTCACCTCACCTAAATCTGACAGATTTAGTAACCAGTGCAGTAATTATCAGTATTAGCCACCCAGATGTGAATAGGCTCCTTGCACAAAATAGCCCGGTAATAATCTCACACTTCCTGCAGCTAGCCAAGCAAGGGTGCAGCAGACCAGAGGTGCTGGGGAAGGACAGAGAAAGGCGAGAAACGGCAGACGGAGACATTCTCTCCAGGAAGTTCTCCAGGAAATGCAATCTGGTTTCTGCACTTGAATGTGTGAGGTATGAGCCAGTGGGCCAGGCTGTCCTGGTCCTATAATTTCCAATTCGTCTAACGTCCTCCACATCCAAATGCTCAGCTCATGTCTGTGTCCACTCAACGTTCCAGCCCTGCCCTGCCCTGCTCTTGGTAGACATCTTACCCTCACGTTTGCACGGACACACCCTGCTTTCTCAGGGCACATGAACACTTTATAGACTGAATTGTGTCTCCCACCCCCCAAACTTATATGTTGAAGCCTTAACTTCTGATGTGGCTGTATTTGGAGATAGGGCCTTTAATGAGGCAATTAAGTTAAAATGAGGTCAAAAGGGTAGGACCCTACTCCTTAGGATTAGTGGCCTCATAAGAAAAGAAAGACACTGGATATGTCCCTCTCTCTGTGCAGGAACAGAAGAAAAGACATCTGAGGACACAGAGACAGGTGGTATTTTATGATGGCAGTCCAGACAGGAAGGCATACATTTTTGGCACACTCCTTACCCCATCCAGCTTGTTCAGCCTCCTCCCAACACTATGGCTCCAGCCGTTTTCTCTTGTGAAGTCTCTCTCCATATAGTCCCCTGAACGTATTCATTCTGGGACATTCGTGTAATTTTTTTTTTCACCTTTTGGTACCCAAACTTAAGTCTCACCTCTCATTCTGCTTTTCAAAACTGCTCTAGCCACAGAGCTTTGCCTTTTCAGTTCTCTTGCAGGTCGGCAACATCTTAGCACTCTATTATACATATTGTTCTGTTTTCTCTCTAATTGTTTCTCACACACAAAACTTGGCCGTCCCATCAGAGTGAAAGCCACTTAAGTGTGGAGTTTGTACCTGGTACTTGACTATCTGGCAGAACCCAGCATGAAACTGGGCACAGAGGGAACACACAGTGTTTGCTGGTTAATTTATTCCAATTAAACATATTGACTCTTCAAAAAAAATCTTAAAAGGTAATGTAGGACTTTATTCTCTAAAATCTCAAGACAGTGTATGTCATTTCAGTCATTTTGGAAGCCCATTGGAGCAGGGACCTCAGGGAACTTCTATACATTTTTTTTTCCCATAGCACGTGGCTGGATACTTTCTGAACAGACCTTGTGTGTGTGTGTGTGTGTGTGTGTGTGTATGCATGTGCTTGTGTGTGTGTGTGTGCGTGTGCGTGTGTGTGTGTGTGTAAGAGAGGGAAATAGAGACATTGAAGAAGATACAAGGTACAAGAAACATTGTACACCCGACAATGATGCCTCAGTCCCCTTCAAAGTAGGCACCTTCAGACCTTACGCAGTTCGCCCAATTGCCATCAGCTGCTCTGTTGTATTTTCCTGAATCTCATCAATGGTCTGAAATCTCTTCCCTTTCAAAGGTGATTTTAGTTTCAGGAAAAGCCAGAAGCCCCAGGGCACCAAATCTGGTCTGTAGGGGGGCTGATTTGATGTTTTACCAAAAAACAGCATAAGACGTGAGGCATGAGTGGGCACATCGCTGTGACGAAACTGCCAATCACCAGTTGCCCATCGCTGTGGCCTTTTGAATCATCCAAAATAGTTTCCATGGAGCAATGTCTAAGCTTAATGCAAAATTTGATGCAGATTTGTTGTTCTACTCACTCAGTCATGTTAAATGCAACAGCCACACAGTACACATGCTCACTTGTCAGGGTCTGCTGCCTCCACTGACACAGTAAAGTTGTCACTGTTCACACATGTGCATTCCAGTCCACTCTCCTTGGCTGTCAGGTTACATCAGTATTGCACAAACCATTCTTGTTATATTAACAATGGCTGGACTTTTTCTGGACAGACTCTGTGTGTGTACACACACACACACACACACATATATATTTTTCAGGCTCAGAGGGGCTCTACACATTGCTCAGAGTCACACAAAGTCAACCCTTCTTTCTCCAAATCAGAAGACATGTTATCCTTGGGTTCCTTGTGACCCTCACTGATGCACTTGGCTGTCTTCTCACTCTCCAGATGGAGAGGAAAGGCCAGGGGACCTCAGATCTTAGAGATGCTTCTGTTCCAACAGATCAGTTGCAAAAGAAAAGAGAAGTTCATACAGCTCCTCAAGGCTTGAAGCTAGAGATGTTTTAGAATTCGAAAGGTACCATATATTTTGAAACATCCCTTGCGAGGTTTGGGGCAATATCTCATAATCAGCCATGTTAATATTTCTGCAGTAAAATATATGAATGTTCAAACTGCATGAGTGCGACGATAAAGCAGCTTCACATCAGTTTAGGTCTGGGGTTTTTGTCGCGAGGCGAGTTTTGGCACTACACTTGCAAAAAGCAACAAACAACTCAAAATCCACCTCTTGGTTTTCAGAGATTTGGGAATTTGAGAATTGCAGGTAATGGATTGTGGAATGACATTTTAGGCTTGGTTGTCCCAAAAGACATGGATGTTTGTGAGGGTGTGGAAAAGCAGCAATACTAACAAAATGAGAAGTCATAGACTGGGAAAGGAGTAAGG